ATGATTGTTTTCTTGAACTCTGTTGTGGATCTCACAGTTTTCTCCTTAGCTTCACTGCTGGGATCGCTCACTTTCTTTGGTTCTGATATTTTAAGCAAACAAACAAGGCACAATGGCGAATGATTTCACGCACTGACACGGCGCTCTATGTTGTCTAAGCCAGAGCAGCGCTTAGACTGAAGTGTCACTCCTTCGTGTCCACGGCAAGACTCGACGTGTGACAGCCCGGACAGGTTTATTCGAATTGGATGTTGGTTGAACACCACACAGATTTTTCCCCCCTAAATTCTGCTGTTCAAGGAGTGGCCAGTTCGAGTCTGGAGTGGTTGGGCACCCAAGGAGTCCCTGTCTTTCAGAACATACCAAGATCCCACGGAATTCAAACTTCAGCCTCTACAAATAAAGTTCTATCAGAACACAGCCAGGAGCATTTGTTCACACACGGTAACAGAACTCAAGCCTAAAGAATTCCTGAGCTGGCCCCTCACAAAAAAAGGCTGCCTACCCTTATGATAAAGAGGAGGGGGGAAAAGAGAAAAACAAAGCAGCCAAATGTCAAGAAATAAGTGCACAGCCTGTTTCCTGAAGAGCTCCGCACTAAGTGGGAAGTGTCCAGCAGGTGATCAGAAATACGCAGGTGGCAGTGGGAAGTGCAGCCCTGAGGAACAACGTGGGAGGAAGCTCTCTCCCTCTCTCCTGCACTGCCTCTGGGGGGTAGACCACATGTGGGTGGGGCAGGGGCAGTTGTGCCCATGAGGGTGGGCTGGGTGGGGCCCTGGGCCTGCTGGCAGGTGCCTGAGCCCCCTCCCCTTCAGTTGCAGGGTGCTATCATGGTGGCCTCCTGCGTCCAGATGCTGGTGGGCTTCTCCGGCCTCATCGGCTTTCTCATGCGCTTCATTGGGCCCTTGACCATTGCTCCCACCATCTCCCTGGTGGCCCTCCCTCTCTTTGACTCTGCAAGCAATGATGCCGGGGTCCACTGGGGAATAGCCTTCATGTGAGTACTCTCGGAGCAGGAGCCCCCACCCACCCCAGCCCATGGGCTCTCCTTGGCAGAAGACCAATCGGTAGACTTGCATGCATTGTGCATGGGCTCTTGCGGCCAACAAATGCGTTCATGAATACTGTCGCATTGTAAAGCATTAAAGCTGATACTTAGAGCTTACTGTTACTGCTAGGTTTTATTAGCACACCAGTCCAGACCAGTAGTGGGTCAGAATAATTAGTCTGTCGCCAGTGGGTCTCTCCTGAGGCCATTTTTTTGGGGGGTGGGGTGTCTGGTACCAGGCAGTTTAGCGTCTAGGGAAGAGATGGGACTTGGATCTGAGCAGCCACGAAATGAGGGACTGCCAGCAGTACCCTGTGTGTGCCTGGCAGGGGTGCTGGCAGCTGTTGGGGATTCGAGGGAGGTCACACGGAGGAGCAGGCACTGAGCACCGTAGGGACCTGGGGTGCCGTCTGGTATGAGCGGATGTGGGTGTCAGGGTGATCTCTCACGCTGGCCTCTTTGGCTCTCACGGCAGCAGCGGTCCAAGGGACCTCCCTGACATAGCAGCTCCCTGCCCGCACCAGCCCTCTTGGACCCCTCGGCCCACCCTTTGCGAGTAGGGGGTCTGCGTGGGCAGCACAGGGGGTGCCGTGGTGGTGCAGGGCACCCCCTAGCTTCCCAGGCTGGGTTTGTTCTTATTTCAGGACCATCTTCCTCATCGTGCTGTTTTCTCAGTACCTGAAAAACATCCCGGTGCCCGTGCCCACCTATGGGCGCCAGAGGAAGTGTCAGACCTCCAAGTTCCACCTGTTCCAGGTGTTCCCTGTAAGTAGCACCCTGGCCTCTCCCATGCTCAGCCAGCTCAGCCCCACTACCCCTTCCCTCCCAGGAGCCAGTGCTCCCTGGCCTGTGGGCTAACACTGCCCGGCTCTTTCTCTGCAGGTTTCTCAGAGTCTGCCCTCGGCCACCTGCAGGGGACAGCCTTTCCACAGTCCCTGGGCTGTCCTTGTAGAAGTTCCTGGGGGTCGGGGGAGGGTAGCCAGTTTCCCCTGGTCCATAAACCCAGGACTGGAGAGATAGGCTGGGTGGCTTGGCTTAGAGAGCATTCTTGTCCAGTGCCTGTGGGGCCCCCACGGATACTGAAGGAGCCCCCTTTCCAGAACCTTCTCCCAGAACCCACACCATGCCACTCACCTGAGCATGGTTTCAGGCTGGACTTCACTGTGAACTGCATTTCTCAACAGAAAAGGGTCCTCCCACATGCCATCCCCTCTGCTGCCCAAGCAATCTGGGGCCAGCAGCCAGTCAGGGTGTGTAAGAGTTGTCTGGGGACTTGACTGAAGACGCACATTCTGGGCTGCCACCCCAGGGAGTAAAGGCTGAGGACCCCACTTTGAGAGACATGAGCAAGCTGCAGGGTGGTGAACATGAGCCCCTTGTCCAGATGGGGACACAGAGGCTCAAGGGACTGGAGCCGAGCTCACAGGACCCAGCAGCCCGGGAGGGAGGGAGCCAGACCCCGCCCACTCCCCTGCCCAGGAGGCCGTGCTGGGCACACGTCCCGGAGGTCACTGCCGTGTCCCTCGCAGGTGCTGCTCGCCCTCTGCATGGCCTGGCTCACCTGCTTCGCGCTCACCGTCACCGAGGTCCTCCCCGCAGACCCCACGGCCCGAACTGACACCAAAGGCGATGTCCTGAGCCAGGCCCCCTGGTTCCGTGTTCCGTACCCAGGTGCTGATAGGGTTCGAGGTGCCCTGTCACGAGGCTCCGGGCGGCGGGGGGAGGGGGGTCCAATGAATGGGGGGCAGAAGTTCCTTGTAGAAGTTCCTGGGGGTCGGGGGAGGGTAGCCAGTTTCCCCTGGTCCATAAACCCAGGACTGGAGAGACAGGCTGGGTGGCTTGGCTTGGAGGGCATTCTTGTCCAGTGCCTGTGGGGCCCCCACGGATACTGAAGGAGCCCCCTTTCCAGAACCTTCTGGAGGCCCTAGGAGTCCATGCCAGTCCCCTATGAGAAAAAATGGGCCCCTAGGTTATCCCCAGAGTCTTGGGACGGAAGAGAGCTTGGGTCATGTCCCTGACTCCCACCCCCATGCTGGCTTAGGATGTGAGGGGCCAGGGAGCCAGAAGGGTCTGTGCCTACCGTCAGGCCTGTGTCACCCCCGGGACCCAAGGGAAGTCTGGGGCTGAAATAGAACATTCAGGAGAGATCAGGGCAAGCCTATTTGGGGGACTGGTTGGTGTCCCTGCTGAGTCCTGGGCTTGGGGTGCGTGCTCCCAGCCTCCAGGGATGCGGCTCCGTTGCGGTGGGATGGGGCCCTCTCTTTGTGACCAGCAGCCTCTAAGCTGGCACCTGCACTCCGCCCCCCCTGGGGACGGAACCAAAGCCCACGCCAGGCCAGCTGTCCAGCCCTCCCTGCAACCCCTCCCCGCCACAGTAGGAAAGTATCTGGGGTGGCAGTGCCTCACTCTCTGGTTGTGCCCCCTCTGAACCTCATCTGCAGGACAGTGGGGTCTCCCCACCATCAGCCTGGCAGGGGTCTTCGGCATCATCGCCGGTGTGATCTCATCCATGGTGGAGTCGGTGGGCGACTACCATGCCTGTGCCCGGCTGGTGGGGGCACCGGCCCCCCCAAAGCATGCCATCAACAGGGGCATCGGCATCGAGGGGCTCGGCTGTCTGCTGGCAGGGGCCTGGGGGACAGGGAACGGCACCACCTCCTACAGCGAGAACGTCGGGGCGCTGGGTATCACTCGGGTAAGGGGGGCATCACCTGGCTAAGGGGGGAATCACCTGGGTAAAGGGGGCATCACCCAGGTAAGGGGGCAGAGCATCATCCCATCACCCAGGGAAGGTGGGGCATCACCCGGGTAAGGCTGGGGAGGGAGGCATTTTTTAGGTAAGGCTGGGAGCAGGGTGTGGGCATCACTGGGTAAGGCTGGGAGCAGGGTGTGGGCATCACTGGGTAAGGCTGGGAGCAGGGTGTGGGCATCACTGGGTAAGGCTGAGAGCAGGGTGTGGGCATCACTGGGTAAGGCTGGGAGCAAGGTGTGGGCATCACTCACATAAAGATTTCAAGAAGTACAGAGGCATCCCTGGTAAGGCTGCAGTGGGAAGGGGGTTGGGGGACAGGAGACAGTGTCAGCTCCTCCAGTGAGAACATGGGGTGCTGGGGCAGCGAGGTACCTGAATCTGCCCTTCCAAGTAGGTCCTCCCTGTGGGAACCCTGGTGCTGTGATGGTCATGCGTTGAGCTGCTAACCTCCATGTCAACAGTTCGAAACCACCAGCTGCCCTGAGGAAGAAAGACAGGGCTGGCTTTCATCTCCCTAAAGAGTTGCCGTCTCAGAAACCTACAGGGGCAGTTCTAGCCTGCCCTAGATGGTCACTGTGAGTTTGAGGTTTTTGAGCATGGCTGCCCTAACAGGGGATCACAACCATACTGGTTTATAAGCGGCTCTGGAGTGGGGGTCCAGCAAGGGGCCCTGGGCTAGTCTGTCACAGTGTTACAGGGCTGTGCTGTCTCTGGAGGCTGGGGCAGAACCTGGTTCCTTTGACGGCTTCTTGAGGCCACCTGCCTTCTTTAGCTCCCAGCCCCTCCTGTATCTGCCAAGCCAGCAGCAGGGCCCTTCCTCAGTCACAGCTCCCTCTGGCCGCCGCGGGGACAGGGAGAGGGGCTCGAGAGACAAGTGCCCAGGTGGGGAGGAGGTGATCATCAGTGCTGTCATTGGCCCCCAGCACATGACAATGGGACCCCATGCACAACAGATGAAACACGGGATGGGAACATGGTGGCCCACAGGGTTTTCACTGGCTGATTTTTAGATGTAGACTGCCAGGCCTTTTCTTCCTAGTCTGTCTTAGTCTGGAAACTTAGTTGAAACCTATTCTGTATCACAGCAACACACAAGCCTCCTCTGATAGTTGGGGGTCGGGTGATGGCTACCCATGGGGTACACAGGCCGGGAATCAAACCCGTGTCCCTGCCTGAAATGTGAGGCTTCTACTGCTCACCTACCAAGGCCCCGCTGGCCCCCAGTTGACTGAGTAAAATCTCCCTGCAGGGTCTCCCTAAGTCTTCCTGGGGGCAAATCACCAGGCCTTTCTTTCCTGGCACTGCTGGGTGGACTCAAACTGGCACCTTTTCTGTTAGCAGCCAAAGACTTAACTATTGCACTGCCTGGGGTCGACAAGGCAGCGATACTTCCCCCCACCTCGGTCATCGTCAGGCCCCCCGGAATCATTTCCAACTCACAGCACCCCGTGTCCAGCAGAATGAAACACCACCCTGTCCTGCGCCGGCCTCACAATTGTGTCTGAGATCATCGTTGCAGCCACGGCCGGTCTCCTTCCCTCTCGCCAAGGGCCTCCTCTTTTGGCTGCCCCTCTGCTTGACCAAGGGAGTGGTCTCGCCAGACTATAAGTCCAAAGTTTCCACATCCTCGATTCTAAAGAACATTCTGGCGGCCCTTCTAGACCAGATCTGGCCCTTCTTTGGGTAGTCCGTGACACATCCTTTTTCAGTGGCATCCACCCTTCTCTGGTCTCCTTATGCACTTGGATGCATGTGGAGTGACGACAAACACCACGTCTCGAGTCAGGTGCAACTTAGCCCCCAATGTGACATCGTTGCTCTTTAACGCTTAACAGAAGTGCTTGGTAGCAGAAAAGGCAATGTGGCGTTTGATTTCATGCAGAGTAAGCAGAGCGAACATTTGCTTACTGCCTTCAATAAGCAGAGCGAACATGTCTTTGATGAGTCATTTTAAATGAAGACCCTTTAGAGAAGAGGGAAGAAAGATCAGACCCAGAGCTGAGCCGCTGCTCACTGCTTTAATGGACTCACGTCTCCCCCTTGTGATACTTAATGGTATTACCACCACCCCCAACAACGTGGACATGTGCATTAAGTTCACACTGGCTAAAGGTGTGATCTAGGCTGCACCAACAGCTTCCAGCCCACACTCCGGAGGCCCAATGCGGCCACAGGCTGCAGGCTGAGTGCAGGTGGTGGCAATCCTGGAGCCACGAGGGCTGGCTGGGGTTAGCTGCTGTCTGTATTGGCGTCTAGTCAAAGAGCGTTTGTGGAGCCTGACACATCGATTGTGCTTGTAGTCATGCCCTTGTTCTTACAGTTCACTGTTAGGATGCTAAACAACGCCAAGCAAAACAGACATTCTTTTGCTTGGTCTGAATGTCTAATGAAGACTCTTCAACAGTGAGCTCTTAGCTGGGAAAAGAAGTGAAAGCAGAATCTGCGGTTTTATGTAGTGTTCATGGACTTTCCCAGTGTACCCTTTTCAGGGCTGGTGGCGCAGTGGTTACGTGTTGGGCTGATAACCTCAAGGTCAGCAGTTCGAAACCACCAGCTGCTCTGCAGGAGAAAGATGAGGCTTTCCACTTCCGTAAAAGAGTTACAGTCTCAGAAACCACAGGAGCAATTCTGCCCTGCCCTATAGGGTTGCTGTGCGTTGGGATCAACTTGACCGCAGTGAGTTCTGAGAAATACACTCACTGAAAAAAACACACAAACCAAACCGAACCCACGGCTATTGAGTAGATTCTGACTCATAGGGACCCTGCAGAACAGCAGACCTGCCAAAGTTGTAATCTGTATAGAATAAGGTGACCAGACGTCCCGCTTTTGGTGGGACAGTCCCAAATTTTAACAATTTTTTCTGCGTCCTGTGGAATTTTAGAAAAGTCCCAATTTTTGGAAAGAATGCACGACAAGCTAGGGTATACGGTTTTCGGCTGCCATGTGGCTATTTCGCCAGGATATGTGTTTTATCAACGGTGTCCCGCTTTACCAATGTTAAAATCTGACCACCTTAGTATAGAAGCAGACAACTTTGTTTTTCTCCTTCAGGGCAGCTGGCTGGTTTGAACCACGGACCTTTTAGTTAGCAACCCAACGCTTAATCCCCGTGCTACCAGGGATTCTATGCATTGACCAAATAGCCAAACTCACTGACATCATCCATTCTGACTCTGGGGGACTTGGGATAAGGTTTCTGAGACAGGAGCTGCAGGCCTCCTCTTTTTCCCTCAAAGTGACTGACGGGTTTGAAATGCCACCTTGTGGTTCACGGCCCAAGCAGAGGTACCTAAGGCCATTCACTGATGGGCTATGGAGCCAGGGTGATGCAGCACAGACTCTGGGCCACAGAGCTCCTTTGTTTCACCAGCAGCAACGCCGAAGGTGCAGGCACAGCCGTAACTAAGCATCCATCTCCGGAGGAAGTCCTGCTGACCTCCTTCCGAAACACCAGCCCTGGAAAACAACACCCCACCACCACACACACACACACACACATTCCCTCGGTCACCGTGAGTCAGGGTCGGCTCCGTGGTACTCAGTTCGGTTTCAGTATCCATCAAGGTGTCCTGGGGCATCAGCTGTGTGCTCCTGACCGCTGCTGGTCAGAAGGGTCCGCTGAGGAACAAGACCTAGGGATCTGCTTCCATAAAGACTGGCCTAATATGTTTCCATATAGGATATATAAACATATACACAAACATCTATCTATATTTTCAACAATTTAAAAGCAGTCTCGTGCAGCTCATTAAGGGAAAAGCTGCCCTCCCCATTGCCTCCAAAATGAGACCCCCCTCCCCAGTAAAGGTCCCAGGAAGTCTGGGAGTTGAGGGCAGGGCTGGCCAGAGGTGCTCAGGGGCCCCTGCAGGCACTCAGAGGCACACAGCTCTGTGCCCAGACCCCATGGGGTGCAGACCAACCTTCCAGGTGTGATGCTGCTCTGCCCAGCCCCCTGGGGCTTGGCCTGAGCTCGCATGTGTGCTGCCGGCCCTGCAGGTGGGGAGCCGAATGGTGATCTTGGCAGCGGGCTGCGTGCTGCTGCTGATGGGCGTGTTTGGGAAGGTCGGAGCCGCGTTCGCCACCATCCCGACGCCCGTGATCGGAGGCATGTTCCTGGTGATGTTTGGGATCATCACAGCCGTGGGGATTTCCAACCTGCAGGTGAGGGTGGCACCTGGCACCTCTTGGAAGAAACCCACGGGACTGAGATGGTGGCATTGGGAGTGGGGTAGGAGGTGATGTGGGATCCCAGAGACCATCCTGGCCCCCAGCAGGAAGAAAAAGTAGCCAGAAGGGTCAAACCTCTGCCCATGGGAAATTGCATCTACTCAGAGAGCATGCTCCCAGCGACCTGGCCCTGTGGGCCTTGGAACTCCGATGTCCCCAGCTGCGGGGTGGCAATGGATGGAGGGGTGACGGTGGGTGGAGGGGCGTCTGCTGTGCAGGCACCCAGCTCCAGCCCGCCTCTGGGCCTCCCTCTGGCAGTATGTGGACATGAACTCTTCCCGGAACCTGTTTGTCTTCGGCTTCTCCATCTACTGTGGGCTTGCCATTCCCAACTGGGTGAACAAGAACCCAGAGAGACTCCAGACAGGTATGCCCCACCCTGGCCCCCGGGATCAAGGTCAGCGGGGCTGCTGCTGGTCCTGCCTGCGGAAAGCTGGGCCGGGTGAGTCCCTCCCTTCTGTCTCTGCCCCAGGCATCCTCCAGCTGGACCAGGTGGTCCAGGTGCTGCTGACCACGGGCATGTTCGTCGGCGGCTTTCTGGGCTTCTTGCTGGATAACACCATCCCAGGTGGGGCATCCGCAGTGTTTCTCCTGCCCCAATGCCAGTCGGCTGGGCACAGAGCACACGAGGCCTGGTGGTGCAGGGGTGGTGAGGGGGCTCTGCAGAGGAAAAGCCCCACCCCAGACAAGACGGTAAAAAGACCCTGCCCTGCTCTCCGAGCGCCTGCACAAGCTAGCCGGTGAGGGTCCCCACGCATGCGCTAATTTACGTTCACTTTCCACCTCCCTCCGTGAGGCTCCAGAAATCCGACAGGCCCCGCCTTCCGGGAACCCCCCACCCTCGGGCTACCCAGGCAGGTGGGAGGGCAGCGCAGTCTAGTCCCCTCAAGCTGAGTAACCCTAAGGCGGAGCCAATGAGTGCCAAGCAAGCTGGTGCAGGCGTGGGGAGCTTCCTGGAGGAGGCGAGCCTCGCCCACCCTACCCGCTTCCACAGAGCTGTAAAATGTAGGCTTCTTGGCTCTCCCACAGCCGCACATTGGGACCCGCACAACAGCCCCTCTACACTTTGTGAAATGCTTCAGAGACAGGGAACATTTTCAGCCCGGGGTTGGGGGACAGGGCTGTGCTCAGCATGGGGTCTTTCACAATGGAGGTGCCAGGGACCCAGGCAGAGCCGCTCTGTGATCCTTGAACTAGATTGGGAGTTGACAAAGGCCGCATTGGCCTCGGGTGCAGTGCAGTTCCGGGGTCCGTCTGCAGGAGGCGCGGTGCAGCCAGTGGAGTGTCTGCATGGGGCGCTAGGCGCAGTCCAGTTCTGAGGGCTGCCTGCTTGCAGGGGGTGTGCTTCTGCAGGAGGTGTGGTGCAAAGAAGGGGGGGCAATTCTGTGGGGTCACCTGTTGGAAGCCCAGTGCAGGAGGGGAGGGTGTCTGATTGCAGGGGTGTGTGCTGCAGCCTGGGCAGTGTCTGCATGGGGTACTAGGAGCAGTGCCATTCTGGGATATGCCTGCAGGCAAGGGGTGGGATGTAGTTCTAGGGACTGCCTTCAGGGGCGCAATGTAGTTCTGAGGGCCCTGCAGTTCTCTGGGACACACTTGCTCCTCAGGGTCCCTCCACCTTCTGTTTCCTTCCAGGAAGCCGGGAGGAGCGGGGTCTAGAGGCGTGGACTCAAGTCCGGGAGGAGTCGGAGGAGGCCTCGAAGGCCTTGGAGATCTATGGCTTCCCCTGGGGCACTGGCACCAGGTTTTGCTTGTCCTCCTGCACCCGGTACCTCCCCTTCTGGCCTGGGCCGGAGGGAGTCGGGAGAGGGGAAGTGAAGATGAGCCAGCTCTAGCACTGAGCCCCAGGACTTCTCTGGCCGAGACCCGGTGCCTAGGATGTGAACGAGCCTAACACCCCCAAGACCCCCCAGACCCTACTATGAGTGCCGGACCCTCAAGAGTCCCTCCCACACCACCCACTGTGCTGCCAAAGTCCATGTGCTGGTAGACTAAGACGGTGACCTGGATGCTGCACACCTGGTGTGCAGAGGAACACATGACCCACATCCATCAGAAGCCTGCCTAGACCATGCCATTGGCCTGTAGTGGGCAGGGTGTGACAAGGGGTGGTGGCTGCAAGACCCAGTTCTGTGGTCTGGAAAGAAGCAGGGCCTGGTTGGCCTCTCCATCCTCCTCCAGGCTGGCTGTTGGCAGGGGAGGGGGGGGGGGGAGTCCAGGAAGATCCCCTGATTCCTTATTTCTTAGCAGCTGGTGTTCCAATCCAGTCTCCCTGCCCTCACCCACCAAAGTAGACCCTAAGGCTGGGCACTACGGGGCCCTCAAAGATGATTCCACTGCAGCTTTGGGCTTTTCTGGAAGGTTCCATTGATTTTCCCTCGAGGTCTCAGATGTGCACCTTTTCTTTTAAATGGGCACTGGGCCCCGTGGGTAAGAGAACACAGACGTACTTTGGAGGGACCGTGGGTTTGCTTGCAGACCCTGGCACAAAGGCGCCCCAATAAGACGCTATCACAATAAAATGAACGACGCCAGGTTTTTTTGGTTTCCCATGACGTCACACTGACACCTGGCCTCTTAAAGGAGCACTTTGAGCTGACCTTTCCCCCCCACCCGACCCAGGAAAAAGCTGATGCAGCTTGCTCCCTTGGGAACCCCCAGGAGCACTTCAACTCTAGGGACTGTCCTGTGTCGGAATTGACATCACCCCAGCGGGTGGGGGGGGGGGTTCTCTGATTCGTGCAAGGAAGAGAAAGGCTTTAGTCCTGTGGGAATGACCTTGGGGCCCAGGGACAGGAAGTGAGCGCCTGCAGTTGGGCGATGGAGCCCAAAGACTTTCGGAACTCGGGTTACCACAAACCTTCCGTTCGTAAAAGACAGTATCGACAGAAGCACAATACGATGAGGTAGGTATTGGCAGAGGAAGGCCTGCCAAGTCTTCCTCGGGCTCACCACTGCCTCCACCACGAATCCCCCTTGCTCAGGAGATGGGAGAAGGGAAATTCTAGCCCCCCCTCTGTAGAAAGAGGGTATCGAGAGGGCTGCACCTCTAGTCTCTTCCAAAGAACTGAAGGTGGACAGCTGCCCGGGCCCTGCCCGCCAGCAAGCCAGCCCCTTCCTTGGCCCAAGCCACCCTAACACACACACACACACACACACACACACACACACACACACACACAGAGAGACGGTGCTGCTCTGGAATGCTTTGTAGTAACTGCAAATGGGAGTCATCAAACGCTGAGACAAGCCACTCCTAATATGCCCAGGAGTCGGGGACAGGTGTGGGCAGGTATGATCTTAGCGACAGAAATTGACAGTTGGCAACTGCCCCCCTCGGTGCCCAGGACGTTACAAATCTTCATCATCAAAGGTTTCCAGGCACCTCAGCATCACGGTCTCTTGGTCCATCTGCATGCCTGCTTCCTGCAAAACACGTTGGGAGGAGTTTAGCGCTGCTAACGGCAGGGGTCTAGCTCCACAGACACCTCTTCAGCCGCACCCTGTCCCCCAGCCTAAGCTCCCAAACGGGGGCTATGAGGTGGTGGCCTGAGTTACCCTCTGGATCCGGAACGAATGAGCCCTGAGATCGCTGTCGCTTGAACCGGCCTGATGCAAGGATTTCCCATCGGCTGATAGCCAGAGGTAGTCAGTCGCCAGCCCTTTCTTCTGAGTGAGAAGGCCTGTTTTCCCTGGCACGTACCCTCTGACTGCCAGACGGGTGTTTCCTGAACACAGCAGAGGGGCCTCTTTCCTAGGGGGGCAATCTTCCGGCTTTATCCGACCCCCCTTCTGAAGCAGCCTGTGAACTTCCCCTGCTCACCCCATTAAAATGGTGCTCTATCTTTGGGGTGCCCCATTCAAAAGGGGCAGCTTCAGACCGAGTGTGGAGGGGGCTAACAATGTCGGCAGCGCATCTCCGGACTGAGGGATGCAAAAACCAAACCAAACTCACTGCCATCGACTCGATGCCGAGTCCTAGCGACCCTGCAGGACAGGTAGAGCTGCCCCTGTGGGTGCCCAAGACTGTCACTCTCTGTGGGAGTAGACAGCCTCTTCTTTCTCCTGAGGAATGGGTGGTGGTTTCAAACTGTGGACCTTGCAGTCAGCAGCCCAACGTACAACCACTATGCCATGAGGGTGTGCGCTCAAAGGAGGGAAACGCAGATGCTTTGGAAGGGTGTGGCTTAGTGGCTGTTAGCAACCTGGAGGGGAAAGAGGAACTGTGAATTGAACGGAGATTCTGAAAACCTTCCCCAAGCCCCTTGTCTGATGAGTGGATGGTCACTCATGGTGACCCCGCGTGTTACAGGGTAGAGTTGCTCCGGAAGGTTCTTTGGCCTGGCATCCTGAACGGAAGCAGGTTGCCAGGCTGCTCTTCCGTGGTACCGCTTGGTGGGTTCAAACTGCCAACCCTTCAATCAGTCAGCAGCTCAAACCATTTTGTTTCTGAGAATGTTTGGATTTTATAGCCCATTCCGGGCTACCTGTGGAGAGAGCTCTTTCTCAGGAGCAGGGCACGCTCTGTCTGCAGGAAGGTTGCTGATTCGCTTCAGGATGATCTCAGCCACCCTCTGGGAGGCCCTCCCCTAAACATCTGCTTCCAGGGTTTGTTCTCTCCTGGGGTCTCCACACCCCAGCCGACAGCGATCCCTGCACCTTGAGCCCTAGTGATGCAGTGGTTAAAGAGCGTGGCTGCTAATGGAAAGGTTGGTGGTTTGACCCCACCAGCTGTCGATGATGTCCGATGGGGCAGCGCTACTCTGTTTTGCAGGGTCGCTCTGAGCCGGAATCCACTCCAAGGCAAAGGTTGGTTTAGTTTGGCAGGGGAGGGGGGACGGGTCGGCAGCTGGTGAGCCAGGCCCATCTGGCCTGGGTAGCATCCCTTACACCAGTTCGCCCTATCATGAGTGTGTCACCCTGGCGGCGAGGGGGTGGCTAGGTAGGGGACTCACCCCTGCAAAGGCCTTCCTGCTGCGCTTCCTCCTAAGATTGCCTTTGGGGCAGTTCCAGCGGTGGGCAGGGTAAAGGGCATCAGAGAAGGGGGGTGTGGGTCTCTGGGAAAGCCACAGACCCGTGGCTCAGGGTGGGGGCATCAGCAAAGACTGAGGGCAGTGGGCGGGGGTCAGACCATGAGTCTCTGACCCAGCTGGCACCGGAATGTTGTTCAAAACCCCTGAAAAGGGCATTGGAGGCATTGGATAAGCTCCAGGTTTTCTGAGAGCACCAGGCTCCGAGAGCTGTTTTCTTGGGGTTCGGTGGTGTTATCGGGTCCGTTGCTACCCATACCGACTGGGTGTACAACAGAAGGAAACACTTCCGGTCCTGTGCCATCCTCACATTGTTTACTGTTTAGTGATTAAAAACAACACAAAACTAACTAACTAAACTCACTGTCATTGAGTGGATTCTGGTTCCTTGCGACCCCTACTGGGCAGACTAGAACTGCCCACGTGGGCAGGTGGCCACGTTCTCCCGGGGATACACCCAAGGGCTCATACTGCCGACCTTGCGGTTCATGCTTCACCCACTGTGCATCCAGGGCTCCTCTGCTTACTGGTTCTGGGTGCTAATTAAGTCCCATCGAGGTGGAGGGGCTCTTCCCCGCTTTACACAGGGGTCGACCAAAGATAGGCGCACTGCCAGCAGGGCCACTCGCAGCTGGTTAACACTGGACCGCTGGCCCGTCCCCACAATACTGAATGGGAACCTTGGGGGCTGGGGCCACAGGTCAGGGGGTGATTCTCTAGGGCCACTGATGCATCTGCATCCCAAGTTCCTGGGATCCCACCACACTCCCCAAGAAGGCCCAGATCTGCAGGGACACGCTAATCCCCGCGGCTGGTCCTCTTCTTACGTGCGAGAAACCAGCAGGGAAAGCCAAGGGTGTGGGGCCATCCATTCTCCAAGCCTCGCAGAGGTGGATGGGCAGAACTGTATGCACCTGCGTGGGGTGGGTGGCTGCTAACCAGCCAGTGGAAGGTGGTGGAACCAGCTGCAGGAAAGGGGGCTCTGGGCTCTTCCTGGAAGGCCCACCTGGTCCTGGCTGAGGGCAAGGAAGGCTGCGTGGAGAAGCTGCCAATTATGCCTTGGCGATGTGGTTCACTGCCAGGAGTCACCCCTGACTCTTGGCTGCCCAGGTGTCATAGAGTGGAACTGCTCCCTGGGTGGTCTTTATGGAAGCAGATTGGCAGACCTCTCTTCCACAGCCCTGCTAGGTGGATTAGACTGGCCAAGTTTGAGGTCAGTGGTGGAGCACAATATGTTTTTGCCCTTCAGGGGTTCTTGACGATCCCTCTTAGCCTAGCGGAAAAGATAGCCCAAGACCAAACGTGGGCCAGGGGTGTCACTGGCCTGTTCTAATAGCCAGTGTGCCTCTGCCAAGTCGGTAGAGAAAATCCATAACTATTCCACCTGACATAGGGCTTACCTGGTGGGCTGCTACCTGCAAGGTCAGCGGTTAGAAACCAGCTGCTCCTCGGGAAGAAGACGAGGCTTTCTACTCTGGTAGAAATTTACAGTCTGGGGAACCCACCCAGGCAGCCCTGCCCTGTCATATCGGGTCACCAGAAGTCAGCTTCGACTCGATGGCGGTGAGTTTGAGGTCAACCTGACAGGACTATCGTCTTGGCACATCACCCCAAACCCCACCTCTGTGAAAGCGACCAGGATTCTGCCTCGTAAGCAAGACCCCCAGCCTGCCAGTCCTCCTAACAGCTTGCAGCCGCTGCCTTCAAACAGGCCTGCAGAGGTGGCCTGTGGGAAGCCGGCAAGGGCTCACCAGCACTGAGAAGGGCCTGCTGAGAGCCAGCTCAGGGCTCAGGGCACCCCACCATCTCTGTCTGGGCACACCCCCCAGGCTCTTTCTCCAGGTGTCCTCAGACATCTTCCCTGAGACACAGTAGGCTGACCAGAGGCCAGCCGTCCAGAGAGAATAAAAGGATGTCCTGCTCAGAAGCCCCTTTTGAGGGTGGTGTGGTCCAGCTCAGGGGCCCCCCCGCATGCCCCCCCCTCATCCCGTCTCTGGACGCCGAGCTCTGTCCCACCTGCTTGATCTGGGTGGTGTTACAGTGCAGGCTTTGGAAGAACTCCAGGATCTGTAGGTAGAGCTGGAACTTCTCCTCTGTGTTCTCCGCGGGGGTGCCGGCGGCCAGTGAACTGGAGACAGAGGACAGAAGCAGCAGCAAATGCTTACAGTCCTGACCGTTCACCTCCACTCCACGCCTAGCTCAAGGGCTGGCAGTTCAAAGCCACCCAGAGGCACTTAGGAAGCCCACAATCTTGGAAACCCCTGTGGGCCAGTTCTCTGCTGGATGCTCACAAACTCACACACACACACACACACACACACTCATATACATATGCACACATACAGACACACTCATGCTCACTCATACATATACTTTAAAAAAAATCATTTTATTGAGGGCTTGTACAACTCTTATCACAATCCATCCATCCATCCATATTGTCAAGCAGTTTGTACATTTGTTGCCATCATCATTCTCAAAACATTTGCTTTCTACTTGTGGCATTGGTATCAGCTCCTCATTTTCCCCTCCCTCCCCCCTCCCGCCTCCCTCATGAACCCTTGATAATTT